TCCACCCAGCTTTACAAATTTTCAGTGTGGAATTTCCATATGTCTCATATGACGACACATGCACTTTTGTATACTTTCTTGAGCAAAGGTGTACTTTACTTGCATGGGTGTACAATGCATCCAGATGCAAAATGGGAATCCAGTGACACACACGTGGAATTATGGGCCGATATATTAACAAGCATCCTTACCACACTGTTAAAACTACAGAACAATATAATGGGTTACATGCACGAATCTCTCATCACAAGTGATGAGATTATTAGTACCTAAGAGATTTAAACTAACATGAGTTGGAGAAGCGTGTATAATATTTAACCTCAGTGTATGAATTCTTCACCTAGTGAAGCTATGAGTTTGATTTGTGGTAAGCATGGGGTAAATAATTAAAATGGCATTTTTGTTGGGAACACGCATGGAGAATTGCTATATTTGGGAAGATAATATTAAACTTCATTTTATATAAAGAAGTTGCAAATATGTTAATTAAATCCTGTTGGTTTGCAATGGGATCGAATGGTGGACTTTGGTTATAACAAGCCTTCGGACTTCGTAACAAGTTTAATCTTCTGACAGACTGACAACTCTTGACTGCCAAAGGGAATGTCTGTTATCATGGAATATGCCAGTTATGTTAAAATAATATACGCTTATATTCCATACACATAATAGTCAAATTAAGTTACACGATTGACATTACTTTCTACGTGTTTCGACCAGAATTATCGCCGTCTAGGCACTAATGTCGGCGTATGCAATTACGACTTGCATTTTTGTAGCCCTTCATAAATAGTTTAAATCAGCGATCATGTACCAGCACAGAAAATTGCATGGCAGAAAGAAAGAAAGAAAGAAGAAGAAGTGCGCCTTGCGAAGGTTTTCTTGTGTCAGCATTTACTTCTGTTTGCAGTAACTTCAGTAATTGACTATACGAATAAAATTAACATTCATGTTTGCCTGTTGAATAGGATATAATTATTTTATGGGTGTTAAAATTAGAGTGTCTGAGAGGTAATTAATATATCCGTGCATGTTTAAAGTTTCCTCTGCATGAGAATAGATTGGCGGTATCCTAAGAGAGATTCACTGTTGATGTATTATTTCGGAATACCATTCTGATCTGAAGAAAGGAACTGAAATAATTGTAACTGAACTCTGTTGACCGCAGTTAATTTGTTAGCGAGTGATTTGTAACAGCACGCACATTTGAAATATGGGAAAATACTGTGTTAATATTTTGAAATATTTTCTGACATAAACACATGCGTACGTTTTAAAAATACACAACGTAATGGAAGAATTTGGGGTGTGTGAATTTTAATTACTGTAGTTGTGTTTTGTTCAGTCATTACGCATTAATGACATAATAATGACATTAAATTGTAAATAATGTTTAAAGCCTGAAGCATAATGTAATTTTAAAACATATGAAC